ATTGGTTTTTGAGGAATAAATTGCAGAAGAAAAAAATACAGCTATACTATTAATTTTTCATACAAAAATGTATTTTTACAAATAGCCACAAAAAAGGTATGGCAGAGAGCAGAGGGAACAAACCATTTTGAGGCTGGGCTCCAAGAGGAGGGTGAGGCCAGATCATAAATTAAATTGGATTAAACTTAATCGAAATGAAATTAATTCAGTCAGTATGATTGCACTCAGAAGTGGTTCATGGTGTTCTTGGGATTGTCCTGAAACAGGCCAGTTTCTGCAATGTGTTCAGGACAGCTGGAATCTGGTTCCTTTAACACTGGACTGCTTCAATCATAGCTTGTTAGATCTGGAAGCTATTTTGGGAAAGCCTGATCTGCATCTTTTTCTCAGTTTGGAAGTTAGTTTTAAACGCCAACCACAGGATTGCTTTTCTTCTTTCTTTTGCTTATTTTAATCCAGATGCTCTCGAGAAAACCACCGAAGGCATTTCTTTGGGTATCTGAGAAAAATGTCTCCTGACAGAGGCAAACCTTGGGGGCCAGATGGCTCGTAAAGAACGTTGAGAGTCCACTTTGGGTGGTTTCACAGAATTGGTCCTGTGGCCAAGAAGAAGAGACGGGTAAACGGCAGGAGTAGGTTCTGGAGGGGGCTCCCTGGAAAGGTCTTTGTAGGTCCAGGTGGTCTCTCTTTTTTGCCTGGGCTGCAGCCCCCCCCCTTTCTTTTCTTCCAGATCCAAAGGGGCTCACGAAGGCACAGTGAATATAATGAATAAAGGTAAACAAGTGGCAGGGACATGGATCCCTGTGGGGACCACATTGCCTGACCTGTTTAGTCCTTCCTGTACTTTGCATCCTCTTAAAGCTTTATTTAAACTTTTACTTATTTCCTCCAGGGACAAAAGACAGCACATATAGAGTAACAGCAGGTGTATATTCAATTCAACCCTGCCCCCATCCCCTGGAGGAAGGATGGACATATCTATCAGAAGAGGAGGGACTTGTGGCTGGCTCCGCCCAATCCTGTTACAGCACCTGGACCACTGCAATATATTTAACGATTTCTCTAGCTTAGGGGTTTTTATATTATATATATTTAAAATAAAACTAATATATTTTGGGTGTTCTTGTATTCTAAGTTTATAGCTCAAATGTCTTTAGTTTCTTCTATCTTCTTCAGTACAGGCAGCTTAACTAGCTTTACTTTTTCCTATGGCACATAATCAACATTCCAACTATCAATAAACTTGCACTGCCTTAATACAAGCTATAGCTAACAATGGCAATAAAAGGAGCTCTGAAAAGATGCCTTCTGCATTCCTTTGGCTGCTGATATACTTCATGTTGTCCCAACACAACACTAATACAATAGGAAGAAGTCATCAATTTTGGTAGACTTGATATCCTGGATTACCTTAATGCAACTTTAACTGCAATCACTCTTCTTTGGAAAAAACTTAGTCTTCCAGATAATGGAAGATAATGACTCTTTCAGATCCCGAATTATGTGTGACTAAATCTCATCTGTCTCTACTTCCAAGATCAGTATCTAGAAGCTTAGACATGTTTAACATGAAAGATAAAATATCTAAGAATCCAATAGGAATTGAACAGTCCAGAGAAACTGATTGATTTGGTTCTTTTAAAATATGAATTTTAAATTTAAAATTCCAGTACTTAGAAGGCCTTTTAACAGATTTTATGGGACTTGTAAAATTGAATGAAATATAGTGGAAGCTGTTACATCTGGCACGAGAGAAGTGCCAAAGGCAACTGGGTTTCATGTAGGGTTGGAAAACAGAAATACCGTTGAGCTGGAAATTTGTACTGTAAACCTCGTCTCAACTTTGGTTATTGAATAGGAAGATCCCAACTTACTGTGTATAAAAGACTTCCAATATAACTGGGAAGAATTAAATAGCATTGGAGAAAGAATTGCAGAAACTGAATTTTGTATGTCATACTTTTGAAATAGAATCTTCTATACTACTCCAAGAATTCTTCACTCATATTTGCTTGGTCAAGGTGCCTGTGTAACATCCTGTTGTGCTAGAAAAAATATCACAACTATTTGCATTTTTCCTCTGTATCAGATTGTGGAAGAAAGAAGTTCTGTCTCTCAAACAGAATACTGCTAGTGGCCCAGGCCAGATCAGGCGGTCTCTAAACACCCTTCCTACATACCCATCAAATCTTCTCTCTGGCAAGTACAAGCTTCAGTGTCCCTGTTACTTAACTGAACATAGGTGGGGCACAAGCACCATGAATGCCTCTGTATAAAGAAAAGGGGAAACAAGTTTTATTATATTTTCAGATAATCGAGGACAACACATAGCTTTCCAGATGCTACTGGAAGCCCTTGCAAACATGGTCCATGGCAAAAGCTATCGGGAATTGTATCTCAGGAACTAGAGTGCTGGTCAGTCTAAGCAGTTGGTTTGAATGTTGAGTTGGTTCTAAGCTCAAAACAAAAAACATGTCCCGAGAGTTTTCAGACAAAACATGCTTTGTTCTGTGCCTGGAACAATGTGTGGCCATTAGAAGTGGTATTATTTTGCATGTCCCAGACCATTCAACCATTTTTAAAATTCCAGGATAGCCAGATAGCAGCCGAGAGCAATCATGACCCTGCTTTGACTAGATAGGGTGTTCTAGAATGTTGATGTGGGCATGAAAGCTTGGGTAAGGCAGTGGTTATTTAAGTGATGACTCAGGTTGAAAACTCATTGTGGATTCCAATTTGTTAGAGGAGCATTTCTTAAAGTGTGGTCTGAGGATCCCTGGGGGTTCCCCAAGATCCTCTCAGGTCTGCGAAATCAAAATTATTTGCCAGATATTGAAGATGTTTGCAAAAATTTAAAACAATGTCACTCTTCTAATTATTTTTTGTTAAAAAAAAGGTTTTTTAATTTATGTTAATATCTAATTGGTTTACATGATTCAATATTCTATGAATGCATCAATTTTAATTTTGATACAGTAAATATTAATAAATACAACCCATACAAACAAAAGCTCTCTTGGGGTTCTCCATAATTTTTAGTAGTGGGAAGCGGTCCTGAGGGCAAGAAGTTTAAGGAGGAAGTGTTAGAGGAAGCAAGAGAGGGCTGCACCCACTGACCAACTGTGGCTGGAGTAGACTAGTGATGCTGCCTCACTGATGTATTTGGTTGCTTTGTTGCATTTATCTTGCCCCCCATGAGTGTGTTTTAATAACAAGCTCCGTGACGCATTTTAAAAATGAAAAAAAAAAAAGTTGATGTGGTTAATTTGTTGAGCATTGTATGTCCAATTTGTGTGTCTTTGTGTCCTATTGATGACATTTCAGAATACATTTAAATCCAGGTTTGCTGATTTACAGAGCCTGACAATTCAAAATGCAGTAATATTTTATGAATTTAAGCATTAAGGAGCAATAGCTTTTTTTTTTTTTTTGCATATTTCAGTAAAGGGCACAATGGTCATTTTTTTGCCATGCTGGGTGGCTGCAAAAAAAAAAAAAAAAATGAAACCGCATGCCAAGCCTGTTGCCAAATGGGTGAGATGGCAGTCCATGTTGCAAGTTGGCAAAGGAGGTCATTAAAAAAAAATTAATATGTTACAAACAAGGGAAACTAGTTGCTTCTATTGTTTCCTATAAGGGTTTTTTAAACAGGTTTTCAAACATTTCAAGTTTCCTATTTCTTATTGCCCTGAAGTGAAAAATAGAGCGAAGGAATCCCAATGCTTGCTATATACCCATAGCACTTGAAATGTTTTTAAATGAATGATTTGCATTCTGCTTTAACAGAGTGTGGGCCTGATTTCTTCCAAGCTTGAAACAAAACACGTAACTCTTTTTTGTGAATGTCCCTATCCAACAACATCCAGAGGGCAGCAAATTCTCTATTCAGTTAATGGGATTGTTCTGTGTGCAGGCACTGCAGTCAATATTTAGAACAGCCTATATTAAACTGTATTTTTTCATGTAATATAAGAAATTAAAGGTCATCTCTATATATGCTTTTATATTTGCAAAACCATTAAAAATCCTGACCGTACAGCCATTGGAAGATTATTATGAGTGCTCTCAATGACTGGTACCACAAGCATAAACATTTTTATAAATAAAGTAGCTACTGGAAGTGTTTCTAAGTCTAGTCCTTGGCATCTCTGGATAATGCTGCAGAAGACTCCCACCTGACAGGGTCTCAGTGGAAATAACCCTGAGCTCGAAAGAGTAGAAGGTTCCTTGGACTAAGGCAGCTTCCTTGAGCTCTGTGCTGAGCCGCCAGATTGGTCTTCAAGGGGGGGGCCACAGAACAGGGAGAGCAACAGAGCCTTAAGGACACTAGACCCCCACAGCTAAAGGCTTCATATGCTAGATACTGTGTCTCAGGTGGGTTGCTGTTTAGATAAAAGAAAGTCTGGGTATCCATATTTGCTTTCTTTCCATGAAATAAACTAGAATATAACTACCTCATTAAACAACAGCTCCAATTTTTAAAAATTTCAGTTAGATCCCAAATGCATGCAAATAATTTTATTTATAAAGTGCTTTTCCTTCCAAGTGGAGCCTGCCACCATTTAACATTTATATAGCATTTTCAAGCATTCAAAGTATTTCATATTCCTTATAAAATTCCTGGATCAGTGTTATATTGAGGATCAGGGGACAATGATTTTAATTGTGAGCCGCCCAGAGTCACCCGTTGGGGGAGATGGGCGGCATACAAATTTAATAATAA